GACAGAGGGCCCTTTAACCAGTTTCTCAGTGGCAGTGAATCAAGTCAGAAAGGTAATTCAGCCCTCACTCCCAAGGTACAAGGAAAGGTAAGAAAAACTGTTTCTTTAGATTCTGTTCTCTCTACGGAACCATTCATCAGTTTCCTCTGAGAGTCTCAATCAATCCCATCAGGAGTGCTTGCCAAAATGAACGCTCTGTGGAAACTCAAGCTGGGGCTGTGTCTGCTCTCTGGGCATCTTCCCTCATCTTTCTTTTTAAGGGTGGCAGGAGGGGACCATAGTAACATGGAAGGTGTGACCTACAACAGGCCCCCAAGTTCCTGGGGCCCTGAGTGCCCTGTCATAGGTTTCTGAGTACGTGCTCTCATGCACTGCTTGCCCATCAGCTGGTGCCACTTAAATAACTGCTTTACCAGAACTGGCTTGTGTAGGACTCATCCGAAGTCCTTACCAACAGAAGGAATAAGGAATTCACATGGAAAGTTGGCCTCACCCTGCTCTTTTCTCATCAGTGAAGTAACCTGAAACATGCAGATTACCAAGGCCTCCAGAGGCACCAAACTCAATGGTTTGCCTTGTCCGTGCTCTTCAGTCCACACAGATGCCAGGAGCAACTTAAAGGTGGGAGAGGCACTTAGAGAGCCGCGACTCAAATATTTTTATTTGATTGCTTAAAAAAAATGAGGCTTGGAGAGGTAAAGTGTTCACCTCTTGCTCAACGTCATACTACTAGGGAGAAAAATCAATTCATCTAAAGCTCTGTCCAGAAGAACGCTCATGTTCTCTTAGTCCCTCACTGGTTTGAGCATGTGTCTTTTACCACATGGAGGTTTTTAGACATTCTGTGCTTTGTAGGGTTTACTCATTTTAATCCAAAAAAAAAATCCCTTTCATGTTGTGCAGCTAATCATCGAAATGCTAGGCAACCTGAATGTTTTATTACAAACCAGTATTCCCTGCAGAAAAGGCTTATTTTGATTAATCTTTAGCACTTACAGCTCCTTTCTGTCAATCAAAGTCTCCATCACGCACAAGCTGCTGCTGCGGAGGCCAGGTTTACATGTTGAGCCAGCCCAGAACAACTTTAGGAAGGAGACGCAGGACTTTTCCTGGCTCTTTTGATAAGGGGAACAATATGTTTTAAAGACACCTTTGTGGAATCCTTCTCCCCTTAGAGTAGATGGAAAGACTCTTGCTTTAAAATAGCCACCAGTGGAGTAAATAAAAATGCTGAATTCTCTTCCTCGTGAATATATTGCTGATAAAAAGAACAAAATGTTCACAAACCCAACCCAGATAGGTCTGTAAAGCTTGAAAGAATTTACTAAATTGGCTGGGCATGGTGGCTCAATCCTATAATCCCAGCACTTTGGGAGGCTGAGGTGAGGGGATTCATTGAGGTCACGAGTTCCAGACTACTCTGGCCAACATGGTGAAACTCCATCTCTACTAAAAATACAAAAATTATCCAGGCATGGTGGTGCATGCTTGTACGCCCAGCTACTCAGGAGGTTGAGGCAGGAGAATCACTTGAACCCGCGAGGCAGAGGTTGGCGTGATCCAAGATTGCACCACTGCACTCCAGCTGATGCCATCTCACAAAAAAAAAAAAAAAAAAAAAATTTACTGACTAGCAGGTGTTCCCCATATCACATTTTTCCACTGCCTGGCCATCCACGCTACCTCTGAGCCCACGGCAGTTGTAGACGGTTTCTTTTTCCTGAACCATCCTTTTTTATTCTATCTATGCACACTGCTTTCTCCTCCCCCAGCACACATACCACATAACATATGTGGCTCGTTAAGATGCAGAGAGCAGTTGTGCCCTCTTCACGTGAGAGCCAGAAAGAGCACCCATGCCTTCCTGGGCCGTCATCCCTTTCAGCCTGCTTGTAACAAAGCTGTTCCTACCTCTCATGGAGCGGGATTGGAAGGTTGTGTACAGCACTGTCTGGAAATGCTGCTCAGAAGTCATGGTCCAGTGGAGACAATCTGTGTTGGATTTTTCTAGAATTACCATAGCTAAGTGTGGAAGAAAAACATGAACGTGCACCAGGGGCAGTGGCTCATGCCTGTAATCCCCGAACTTTGGGAGGCTGAGGCGGGTGGATCACGAGGTCAGGAGTTTGAGACCAGCCTAGCCAGTATGGTGAAACCCCACCTTTACTAGAAATAAAAAAAAATTAGCCGGGCATGGTGGCAGGCACCTGTAATCCCAGCTACTCAGGAGGCTGAGGCAGGAGAATCACTTGAGCCTGGGAGGCGGAGACTGCAGTGAGCTGAGATCACACCACTGCACTCCAGCCTGGGCAACAGAGAGAGACTCTGTCTCAAAAAAAATTAAAAATAAAATAAATTAATAAAACATGGACACAGAATTGCTTTCATCTGCACACTGCTGCTACCTCCTGGCCACCATCCCACCACTGGGCCCTCACAGAAACCTCATCTCCCTCCTCTTCTTAACAAATATTGGGAAATGGAATGGTCCCTGGATGGGCACAAAAGCTTAGAAGTCAAGAGATAAAACATTCTCCTCCTGCTTCTAGGAACGATAGGAAAAGTCTTGAACCTCACTTGCCTCCAAATTCTCTCCATAGGAAGAATCCATACCCCAGCAGCCTTGAGGAAGCCTGAAGAAGCCAATTGTCTCTGTGTGGTGTCAGGGCGAAGAGCTGAAGAAGGCCTTTCCCTGGCTGCAGGGCCATTATCAAGCAATTGAGCACACATTTCCTATTTGTTGAGACATTTTGAGATATGTGATTGTATTTTCACATCACGTTTACAAAGCATAATATGTACCCATTCGCCTCTGTCAGCATGTAGTAAAATAACAGTTAACATTAATTTCATTGAAATTTCAGAAGCCTTTTGAGATTGCTATTAAACATTTAAAAGCAACTTCTCTTTTCTAGGTAAAAGCCTTTCATTTGAAGTGTCTGCTATTACACTATTGGATCCAGATTTCACTGCTATCAAAGATTTTTAATTTGGTTACATTTGTAAACTGTACGTATTATTGTTTTATATCTTATAATCATGTCTTATAATAAAAGTTATTATAAGACATAAATTATGTACCATATTATTATTTGGTACATAATAATATGTACCAAAATATAACTTCATGTAAAGCCATTTGCAGTTTTGGCAAACCTTGGAAGAATTACAAGCAAACTGTTGAGATGCAATACTTTGCATCTAGGATAGGAGTTCCCACCAGTTACTGAGGTTCTTCTTCTAATATTGAAATTAGTGTGTGCGCAGTCGCCTCCCAAATGGGCTTCTCTAACTTTCTCAGTGCTTATTCTGCTCTTGACGTTAGCAGTTGTTTGACTGTCCAATAGTAAAAATGCATATTGATACTGAAGCTGGTTTGTGAATATCCTGTTCTCTTTTCTTCTAAAATTATAGGTTACAATGTTAGACTTTGTCACTTCTCTTCTTTTTTTTCTTATTTCTTCATTCATTCAACAATCACTAAGCACCTTCTTTGTGCCAAACACCAGTCCTGACTCCAGGGATGCTGCACTGAACCATCTAGATCTCAGTTGTGAATTGCTCTTAGGAACATTGTGCTTTGAGAATGAATTCATTACATTACTAGCAGAGTTCATCACCACATGCCTCATTACAGCAGAGCTTAATTATCATTCAAGTAATATTGCTTTGTATATTTATTCATTACACACACAATTAGTAATATTATCTTTCTTAGATAAAATACTTTAACAAGTCCAATTACTAAGCTGTCAAAAGGACATATATAAATGTTTGTAAATAAATAGAGGTTGGGAAGATACAAGATGATTGTGACAAATGTCTTGTATGAAAAGCATTACATTTATTTTGAGGAAACTGTAATTTCTTTGAACAGGAAGAATGTGTAGCAGCTGGAATGAGAGGTATGCTTAGTATGAGAATAATACCTAACTTCATAGCAAGTCAGTTTTATTTCTTATGATTTGCTGTTCCACTGTGACTATAGTTTGCTGACTAGTTGCACCTGCAACCTTATTCTGATTTGTTCTTACAGCCAGTCATTCTTCTTTTCCTTTGACAGCGTTGGTTCCTCTTCCTCACCACAGCATCTCATTTTGATCTAGTTATCTGTTTGAGTTTTGCACCACTATTTTCTTAGCATTTTCTCTTATCATTTCTGAGATCTTACATTGGCTGTTTTGCACATATCTTAAATGTGGTTAGGTAAATAAATGCAGATACCTGTCAGTTTCTGACCACCAGCTAGGCAATTGTCACCTAATGTACTGTTGTTTTTTTCTTTTCTTTTTTTTTTTTTTTTTTTTTGAGACAGGATCTCACTTTGTTGTTGGAATGCAGTGCTGTGGTCAGGCTCACTGCAGCCTTGACCTCCTGGTCTTAAGCCGTCCTTCTGCCTCAGCCTTCTGAGTAGCTGGGACTACAGGTGCCTACCTGCCACACCCTGGCTAAATTTTGGGATTTTATTGTAGAGTCAAGATCTCATTATGTTTCCCAGGCTGGTCTCAAACTCCTGAGCTCAAGTGATCCTCCTGCTTCGGCCTTCCAAAGTGCTGGGATTACAGGAATGAGCCACCACACCCAGCCCATTGTAATTTTCATATACTCACCAATACTGGCTCTCATTGGTCATATGAAATTATGTAATCACATGAAAACAATGCCTAGTGCAGTCCAAGGGAAGCAGATGCTACTGTTTTACAGAAAGGGATATTAGTAAGCCCATTATGTCCAAGGAAGTAATGTATGCAGTATTAGATCTGTGTTCTCTGTTACAGGTACCATTTCCGGATTTGATACATATATTAGTTATGCAAAATAGCCTTTACTCCAGATACATAGGAAAGAAGACAACATGGTGAGGTAGAAAAGAATGAGCTTTGAAAACAGACAGGCGTGGATTTACACTTCTGCCTTACTTCTTCCTACTGTTAAGATTGGACCCACTGAGCTCCATTTTTTTTTTTTTACCTGTAAAATGAGGATAATGAAATAAAAGTCATAGAATACTACATACTAGTTTCTCACTTTTTTCTTCCTTTAAACCAAAAAAGAAACCACATACGTTCAAAACATGCACCACTCAACACCCTAAGATGGAAATAGCTTAAAGTACCAAGTTTAAGATTGAGGTATTGGGGGATGGAGATTATTAAATTTCCTTGTTCAGATGAAACATAATTAACATAATCAGTTTGGAACTTTTTTCATGCCTAATTCACTTTCTAGTCCTAAAATAATGTTGTGCGAATTATTGGCACGTTGTTTCATTTTCATGCTTAATTTAAAAAAAAAATATTCTCCTTGTACTTAAATGCCTATTTAGTTCCATTTGGGCCATTTTCTTTGAACTAAATGCAAATGAGGGAGGTTGCATCTATTTCATAATCTCCCTTTAATCAAGATCACTACGAGGCATCAGCCCCCTGGGTGACGGGTGACATAAATCATATTAGCTTAATTCTGTGTGTTTCATTAAAGGATTTGGTATTTTTATGAACCAGAATATCTAGGTCACTGCCATAGAAGCTTCAATCAAGCTGCAGATCTTATGGAGTCAATGATGTGTTGCTTATTTGATGAGATGAAGATGAAGTGCCTACTCCCACCTCATACTGGCCTCATTAATACATGGTTGCTTTAAGAGTTCATGAGTTTGGAAGAGACAGTTGGGTCCTGGCCCCAGGAAACACAGGAGAAATCCAAATCTCATACAGTGTGCTGGACATATAACAATTTTTGCATTCTTTCCCCCCTCACCATTGAAATCTATGATTTCTCTATTCAACTGTTTTCTCAGCAATCCAAAAAGGCAAGGTTGGCAGCATGCAATCTGCTGAAGAATCCTGCCTAAATATCCTTTTCCACTTAACACTGTCTACCATGGAGTCATTTTGTTTCTTTTTCATTCCTAGAAGATGAAGAAATGATGACATCCCAAACCTCATCATTTGTCTATACTTCCACTCTGGCACTTCTGCACAGTATCTAAATATTTATGTTTCTTTGTCAAATGACAGGACCAAGAATGTTTCTGTAATATTTATGAGAACACAGGAGTTGCTAAGAGAAGAGTCTTTGCAAGAAGGGACGTGAGAAAAGCTGGGAAGAAAGATTGAACCCACAGTTTACAAAGGTTTCAAACATCTAGGAGATTATCCTCATACGGTAAGAGCATTTGACTGGATTGTATGCAGTTAAAATTACTACCCAGCATCACGTAAATGCAGTGTTAGAAGGATTTCATAAATTAGGAAATCTGGAAGCATCTGGGAGAGTGGATGGTTCACTATGGGTGGCAAGGATGGCAGATATAAGGTTTTCGTTGGAAAATATGCCAATTACACATGCCATTTCCTTTCCTGAAAATCTCTAGGGTCACTGCTGGACATAGAACTTTGGAATGGGAAGAAACTTCCAGAGTTCTGTCTTCTTCCAGATGATCAGAATACAGGTACACACGGTGCACAGTTTCTCAGGGTTTTTGGTGATGCCAGACCCATTTCCCCATAGAATTGATGTTTGTGGGGTTTTTTTGAATAAACACAGAAATTGACCCCCTTGGACTCAAATGGAGTCTCACTCTGTCACTCAGGCTGGAGTGCAGGGGTACCATCTCGGCTCACTGCAACCTCCACCTCTCAGGTTCAAGTGATCCTCCTGCCTCAGCCTCCCAAGTAGCTCGGGTTACAAGTGTGTGCCACCGCACCAGACTAATTATTGTGTTTTTAGTAGAGACAAGTTTCACTATGTTGTCCAGGCTGGTCTCGAACTCCTGACCTCAGGTCATCTGCCCACCTCAGCCTCCCAAAGTGCTGGGATTACAGGAGTCAGCCACCATGCCTAGCCCTTATGTGGGTTCCTTCAGGCCTCCCAGTTAGTGTCAAGGAACTGAAAGTTACCAAATAACTACATCCAGACAGTGAGTGGTCAGATCCCTCAACCGCCATGACTGCGTAACCGACCACCTGCTTCCTGCTGGCCAGCTCCTCTTCCTTATCCTCCCTCATTCCGGGTTTTCCTGAGCATAGCTACATTCTTTCCTCGCTAGATCAACCCTGGTTTTGGTGGGTTGGGAAGATGGATTTGACACTTATCTCCTGTCTCCTTAGTGATGTCACCCAAATAAAGCCTTTCTTTCCTGGCAATATTCATCTCATTGATTGCCTTTCTGTGCAGTGAGAAACAGGCCCAAGACTGAACCCCTGGTGTTCGGCGTCATTGGCAGTCAGTGTTTACTTCTCACCAAAAGGTGCAATGCCTCCCTTATGAAGAAGCCAAAGAAACAGTCATCTACAAGTCACTTGGAAGTGTCCACCATCACCTGGGTTAGGATTTGAATTCTTCTAATAGGGTTTACAAACAGCAGATTTATCCAGGGGATTTGGCTTCTTAATTTGGATCATGAACCCCTTCGAGAATCTTATAAAAAATTTTAGATCCTCTCCCAGAAATTGCACATACAAGCAAATATTATTGTTTGCAATAAGCCTCTTACTCCAGGTTAAGACCTTATGGCCTACATATTGAAAAGCTTTATGTTTTAATGGAAGCTTTGACACTAGCAGTGGTAAATAGAGGATTGTTGCCTAAAGAAGGCCCCTTTTTTGAAGTTAAATGCTGTTATTGTCCTGGTTACTAAAGCAGCAGCATTAGAGATACATTGGAAAGCTCAGGTCCTTTGTGAGTCTAGAGACACTTCCAGAAATAAACAATGCCACGGGTCTTCTGGGCCCCGTGGTTCTCACCCCTGGGCTATGCATAAGAACAGAAAATCAAACACCTCATGTTCTCACTCATAGGCGGGTGTTGAACAATGAGAACACATGGACACAGGGAGGGGAGCATCACACACTGGGGTCTGTTGTGGGGAATTAGGGGAGGGACAGTGGAGGATGGGGAGTTGAGGAGGGATAACATGGGGAGAAATGCCAGATACAGGTGATGGGGAGGAAGGCAGCAAACCACATTGCCACGTGTGTACCTATGCAACAATCCTGCATGTTCTTCACATGTACCCCAAAACCTAAAATGCAATAAAACATATATTTTTTAAAAAACAAGAATTCTAGAGAAGCTTTTCTGAATTATACCCAAGAAGACATACACACTTCACAATGTTAAAACTTACAACAAACTACAGTAATCGGTATTGTTTTGGCATAAGGACACACATGTAGACAATATGGAAAGTCCAGAAATAATCCCTTATATTTATGGTCAATTTATTTTGGATGAAGATGCAAGAATCGATTTTTGAACAAGTAGTGCTGGGACAATTGGGTATTCACTTAGAAGATAAATAGATAATGTCTGCCTTCTGGGGAGAGTCTCAGCCATGTGCACTTTCACTTTTGCTTCTGTGTTAATCAAGGTCCATGGGGATTCTTATATTCCAGCTCCAGCTGAGATCCATGCTACAAAGTCAGTTTATGATAGTTGCTGTTTTCATTTGCATCTTTTTTCTAGCTCTCATTTTTCTGACACGGTTTGGCAACAGGATGTTTCTGTTCATTGAACGCTCTAGACAGTAGCCAGCTGCCACTGATCGTGCCAGTGCAGAATGAGAGCATTAAAATGGGATCTGAGGCAGTGGGGAGAGAGAGAGGAACACATGGCTTCAGAATCCAACCGAGCCCTCATCGGTTCGTGGCCCTACCACTTACTGTGTGTCACCTGGAGGAAATGAGTTAAACTCTTCAAACTGCAACTTATTTATCGGCAAAACAGGAAGCAAAGTATCTTTGCTAGTGTTTTGCAAGGTGTCAATGAGATCAGTGTTTTCTTTGTTTATTTGTTGTTGTTGTGTTCAAGACAGGGTCTCGCTCTGTCACCCACGCTGGAGTAAAGTGGTGCAATCTTGGCTCACTGAAACCTCCACATCCCAGGTTCAAGTGATCCTCCCGCCTCAGCCTCCTGAGTAGCTAAAACTACAGGTGTTTGGCACCATGCCTGACTAATTTTTTGTATTTTTGGTAATGACAGGGTTTCACCATGTTGGGCAGGCTGGTCTTGAACTCCTGTCCTCAGAGGATCCACCTGCTTCAGTTTGCCAAAGTGCCGGGATTACAGGAGTGAGCAACCGCGGCCCGCCGAGATAAATGTTTAACAGTTCCTTGCATATCACTGCATACAGTTAGCGCTCAATGAAGGTCAGCTGCTATAACTGTTGTTGCTTTTGTTATTCTCATGATTACTACTAAACCAAGGAACTGAGGTGAGAGATCTTATGAGATGTGGATTCAGTATAAGGCAAATTAATTAATTTGCCATAATTAAAATAGATCTGATGCTTAAACCAACCACTTTCTTTTAAACTGTTTTTGTTATCCTTTTCTTCAGGTCTCCTCTAACACCTTCCATTTGCACGCTCCTCGTGAGAATCTATCGCCTGGTGATCTGAGGTGCATCAGTTTCATCCGGAAACCATTCCCCCACCCCGATCCATGGAAATATTATCTTTCATGAAACTGCCTCTGGTGCCAAAAAGGTTGGAGACCTCTGTCTTAAAAGATATAAGCTGTCAGACCTGGGCCTGGCATGCAGTGAATTGTGGCTATTGTTTATATTCTTTTTGTCTGTTGGAGATTTGGAAACAATTGATTTTTTTTGTCGTTAATTTTCACTTTCAGGCTGTCATAAAATTTATTTTATTCGATTGCAAAACGGTAGAGCTCTAGAACAAGCTCGTCTCGTCTAATCTGCAGCCTGCAGGACGTGTGCCGTGCATCTACAGCTACAGGTGAGAAAGACGAAGCTTGGATTAACTCAGTACTGTGGTCAGGGCAAAATGCGACTCAACAAAGCGGAGTTTTAGACATAAGTTTGTTTGTCTCCTGATAAAATTACTTACTTTCTTCTCACCACTCTGTAGCAGGACAGCTTTGAATGCAGCTCAATTCAAATTTCTAAACGTTCTTAAAACGTTCTGAGATTTTTTTGGTGGTTTTGGTTTTTAGTTCATCAGCTATCGTTAGCGTCAGTGTATTTTATGTGTGACCCAAGACGATTCTTCTTCTTCCACTGTGGCCCAGGGAGGCCAAAAGTATGGACGCCCCTGCTGTAGAACATTAAGCTCTAGGAACCTTAGCAAGACTTTAGTTCAACTCTTCACTTTGTAGTGGAAAAATCAAAGCCCAGGATGGTGAGAAGGTGCCAGGGCCTGCACTGCAGAGTCAGAAAGATAAATGTAACATTGTGCACAGGCTCCCTCAAGAGAACCTCTCATGCCTCCAGCAGCCCACACATGCAGGTCCTGTCTGATTTTTCCTTTTTTGGGGGGACTGAGTATTAATATACATATCTTTTAAAATGTTAAGCTGAAAGCAAGGACAGCAACCATTTTTGCTTTGTCTTTACTTCTGTTTAATGTCTCCAAATCTCTAAGAGTTTATTTTTTTATGTTTTCATCTTGCTTTGTTATAAAGATTTTTTTTAAAGGAGATGATTCGAATGATGTATGTAATTGTTCACTGTTTTACCCTCTTTTCTTTTAGAACCTGTCAAAGCCAAAATATCATTTGGAGCTAAGCCAGATGTTTTCCCACCAGGTCAGAAAGGTAAATGTATTTTTGTTCAACTGGGTTAACTGGAAAGAAATAATTAAAACACATATGTAATATATAGTATTTAATTATATATAGTCACCTTATATAATATGTAATAACATTTTAATAATATATTATTTAGCCTTAAAATGTTATTAAGTCTTTACCCAACCTTGATAATAATGGTTTGTATGATTCATTGCTGGTCAAACTTACTAGCCAAGTCATTTACAATCTAATGTTTATACTTTATAAACCAATTCAATTCTTAGCAAATGCTCCAAACAGTGGTTGACATTTTTGAGTTGGAAAACCCATGTTTAAATTTTAACTCTATTAGCTCTCTGACTTTTAGGGAAAGTCATCAGAATCTGAGTTTCATCTTCCTCAAATATGAAATAACAGCAATAATAACACTAATAATCACACCTATCTCTAGAGTTTCAATATTATAACCATGCCTTTGTGTACATACAGACAGATTGTTCCCTGTGATATCTCCATCCAGCCTCCTAGCCTCAACCTCCAAAATAAATACCAGTGAACTCAAACAATAAAAAAAGACCCCTAGGGTCTACACAAGTCATATCCAGGTTTGAATGAAAACATTCTTGCCACTTTTTTCATACAGTAGTTTATATTTCTCTTTTGAAGAAACACATGAACTTTTGAAGGGAAAGGTGACAAGGTATCAGCAGCCTTTCTGAGACATAATGGGCTGTAATTGTTGGTGACGCAGAACCTCTTGTGAGGGTTCTGCCCTCACAAGAGACAGCTATTCTGCCCTAGGCCTCTCGTGGCAGAAAACCTTCATATTGACTCAACCACAAATGATAAAGAATGAGACACAGGGAGAACAGGCTGACCCAAAAAAATAATCAACCTAGAAATCCAGAAACGGAAAGGCCCAGGGGAGGGATTAAGGCTGCAGCCAAATCTCTTCTTAATTTTGTTAATCAGACATTTGTCAGCACAGGGCACTTTGCAAGTGTTGAAAAATCAAAGCTTGTGAATAGCGCCTGGCCCCCATCTTATTACTTCCTTTATCACTGGGGAACATTTCTCAAGTTGACTTCCTAAAAGGCATTTAGGCTTCTGTTTCATGTATGAAGATAATTATTTCTGTCACAATGAATAATTTAAGCCGTCATTCCCAACTCCACCCTCAGACCACTCACAGCTTTCAATTAAAGGAGATACACTGCTCTGTAATAGAACAGCTTCCCTGTTTTATGGACCTGGGAGGAAATGTAATGAAAGCAAAATGTTTCCCAAAACTTGCATGCCAAAATTATTGGTTGGTTATCACTGATTTTTCCCAGTACAGAGTCACAGAATATTAGCACTGAATGAGTCCTTAGACAACTACAGATGAGAAAGACGAAGCGTGGATTAGCTCAGTACTGTGGTCAGGGCATAAAACTACCAAGCAGAGTGGAGTTTTAGACATAGGTTTATTTGTCTCCTGATAAAATTACTTACTTTCTTTACACCACTCTAATACTGTGACAGTGTTGTGTTATAAAAGTTAATGAGATGAGGCACAGTGGCTCACGCTTGGAATCCCAGCACTTTGGGAGGCTGAGGTAGGTGAATCACATGAGTCCAGCAGTTCGAGGCTGCAGTGAGCTGTGATCGCACCACAGCACTTCAGCCTGTGATCAGATTGAGACTCTGACTCTAATTAATTGATTAATTTTAAAAAGTCAGTTAAACAAGAAACTTGGCCTGGCTGTCTCACATACTGGCTGGCTAATTAAGCACCTCAGGACTGTGTAATATGGATCTGATAACTCAAAATTTGTTTGATTCTGAAACAATCTCAAACTTCTAGAAAAGGGTTTTCTTGAACCTCTTGAGTTTTCAACATGATGCAAATCTAGTGCTTCATACCCTGAAAACTTCAGTGTGTTTTTCCTACAAACAAGGACAAAATCAACAACACAACCACCAAAGTCAGGAAGTTAGTGTTGGTGCATTTGTGTTTCACTGGTTCTTTCATTAGTGTCCTTTTCAGCAAAAGGGGATTATTCTAGATCACATGCTGTTTTTAGTTGTCATGCGATTTTAATTGTCATGTCATGCCTTCCCTGCAATCTGGGACAGTTGCTAGGTCCTCTGCCAACTCTCAAAACCTTTGTGGATCAAAGGCCTATTATTTTACAGAATAGCTCTCAGGCTGCTTTTCCTGATGTTGCCTCATGAATAGATTGGCAGCAACATTGCACATAGGCGGTGTGCAGTTTGGATGGACTCATTACAGATGTTAATTTTGGTCACATGGTCAAGGTGCTTTCTCCCTGGATCCTTCAATCTAATGGCATTTTCCCTTTATAATTAATAGATATTTAGTGGGAAGATATTTTGAGACTATGTAAATAGCCTATACTTTATCACCTTCTAAGTTATTCATTTACCTATATCACTATAAACTCATGGTTTCTCATTTTACTCAGTGGAATACAGTTCTTTAAAATATTTATTTTAATATTCTCATTGTCCAAGATTTGGCCATATATATATATGTACTTAGGACCAAGCTCAATAGTGACCAAGCTGAGAATCAAATCAAGAACTGAACTGCTTTTACAATAGCTGCAAACACACACACACACACACACACACACATACACACATACACATACACACACTTAGGAATATACCTAACCAAGGAGGTGAAAGATCTCTATAAGGAAAACTACAGAATACTGCTGAAAGAAATCATAAACACTAACAAATGGAAACACATCCTATGCTCATGGATGGGTAGGATCAATAGTGTGCAAAAGACCACCTGACAAAAGCAATCTACAAATTCAGTGCAATTCCATCAAAATACCACCATCATTCACATAACTAGAAAAAAATTTAAATTCATATGGAACCAAAAAAGAACCTACATAGCCAAAGGAAGACTAAGCAAAAAGAACAAATCTGGAGGCATCACATTACCCAACTTCAAACTATACCATAAACCTATTATCACCAAAACAGCATGATACTGGTATAAATATAGGCACACAGACCAATGGAACAGAATAGAGAACCCAGAAATAAAGCCAAATACTTACAGCAAACTGATCTTTGACAAAGTGAACAAAAACATAAGTGGGGAGAAAGGACACCCTGTTTAACAAATGGCACTAGGATAATTGCCAAGCCACATGTAGGAGAATGAAACTGGATTTTCATCTCTCACCTTATTAAAAAATGAACTCAAAATGGTCAAGGATTTAACTCTAAGACTGAAACTATAAAAATTCTGGAAGATAATGTCAGAAAAACTCTTCTAGACATTGGCTTACTCAGGATTTCATGGCCAAGAACCCAAAAGCGAATGCAATAAAAACAAAGATAAATAGCTGAGACTGAATTAAACTAAAGCACTTTTTCATAGTGAAAGAAACAGTCAGCAGAGTAAACAGATAACCCACAGAGTGGGAGAAAATCTTCAGGATCTGTACATCTGACAAAGGACTAATATCTGGAATCTACAACAAACTCAAACAAATTAGGAAGAGGAAAACAAACAGTCCCATCAAAAAGGGGGCTAAAGACATGAATAGACAATTCTCAATAGAAGATACACAAATGGCCAACGCTGAAAAAAATGCTCGGTATACTAATTATCAGGGAAATGCAAATCAAAACCACACTGTAATACCACCTTGCTCCTGCAAAAATGCCCATAATCAAAAAATAAAAAAAAATAATGATACATGTTGATGTGGATGTGGTAAAATGGGAACGCTTCTATACTACTGGTGGGAATGTAAACTAGTACAACCACTATGGAAAATACTGTGGAGATTCCTTAAAGAACTAAAAGTAGAACTACCCTTTGATCCAGCAATCCCAGTACTGGGTTTCTACCAAGAGGAAAAGAAGTCATTATATGAAAAAGATACTTGCACACATGTGTTTATAGCAGCAAAATTCACAATTGCAAAAATGTGAAACCAACCCAAAAGCCCATCAATCAACAGTGGATAAAGAAACTGTCATATATATATATATACACACACACACACACATACACATGATGGAATAGTACTCAGCCATAAAAAGAAATGAATGAATAGCATTTGCAGAAATCTGAATGGGATTAGAGACTATTATTCTAAGTGAAGTAACTCAAAAATGAAAAACCAAACATTGTATATTGTCACTCATAAGTGGGAGCTAAGCTGTGAGGATGCAAAGAAATAAGACTAACACAATGGACTTTGGGGCTCCGGGGGGAGGGTGAAAAGGGGATGAGGGATAAAATACTAGAAATTGGGTTCACTATATACTGCTCTGGTGATGGGTGCACTAAAATCTCAGAAGTCACCACTGAAGAACTTCCTCATGTAACCAATTAATACTTGTTCCCCAAAAAACTATGGAACTTAAAAATTAAAACATAATTTTTTTTAAAAAAAGAAACTTACATTTTTAAAAATCTGAGTTCCTTCTTCAGGAAAGGACTCCTAGGCCTCTCAAAAAGTATCAAAGAACTGAAACTCACCACGTCAGGCCCCTCAGTCATCAGGCTTTCTACCTTACCCCTCCTCAGTTCCTGTTTTATCAAACATTGTTACATTTCTTCCCTGCTATATAAACTCCTAGGTTTAGTTGGTCAGGGAGCTGGGTTTGAGACTGAACTCCCATTGCCTCGGCTACAGCACCTGATTAAAGCCTTCCTCCCTGGTAATACTCATCTTAGTGACTGGCTTTCTGTGCAGCAAGTAACAGGACCTAAACCCAACTCCTGATATTTCAGCAGCAAAAAACTCTATATAAGGACACCAGTACTATGGAATTAGGGCCCACCCTAACAACGTCACTCTAACTAGACTGCCTCTGTGAAGACTGTCTCAAAGATCACATTCAGAGGTACTGGGATTAGGACTCTAACGTACAATTTTGGGAGACACAAGGACACAAACCTCTCTGTCTGCCTCCACTATGTCATACTGGATGCCATGTCCTTGGACTTAGACTCTTCTAGGGCTGTCAGTGGTGCATGCAGAGCTTTAACAGAGGCTCTCCTCCATGTATTGATTCAGAGGCCCAGGCCCCTTCAATCCTGTGGTTCAATCATCTTCAGCAAACATTTCCAAGGCCATGGCTGTGTCAAGCTGGTGAAGGGAAAAAGAGCAGAGTATGTCGAACCTTGGCAGATGTCACGGATCCAGCCTGGTCCAGAGCATGCCACTCACATTGTGTTGACCAGAAATGGCCAGGGTAGAGGGAGTGTGAACAAAACATGCTTCCAGAAAACAGAGAAGCTGGTTTTGGTGATCACCTAGGTAGTATTCTCGACAGCAGGTTCTATTCCCTATTACTCAAGAAACACACGGTAGTGAGGAAATGAAAATTAGAGTATTGGTTGCAAGATCTTCAAGAGGAAGGAAAAAAAGATGCCCTTTCTGCGCACTTATTAGGATACTCTCAATATTTTAATTACCAATTTGTGTTCTGCCAAAGAAAATGATATTGAAGGAAAGAGAGGTCGGTTGTTGCCTGGGAACTTCAGAGATTCTGTTCAGGTTCTACCCTGACACATTTAAGTTGCTGCTTCGTTTTGTTTGCCCAGATGGGTAATTCGAATCTGGATTAGAATCTCTAGCATTCTCTTGGGAGGTCATCCTTTCCCTAGGGCTCCTGTTATCTTTACTTTATAATATTAATGATAACTGCAACCACCAGCAGGGTAGTGCTAAAACGAGCCTTATCTTACAAAACTGAAATTCACTGCTAGGAATTTTTCTTAAACACCGTTATGCATAACAATATTTTTAATGGGGTGATTCCTACCAACTGGTTCACAAAACTCTTGTCATTTTTTGAAGCAGAATTAAATAATGCCAGGCAGCAGAGTGTGTTAGGCATAAATTACAGATGGCAGGAGGGCAAAGACGTTGTGTGGTGAATAAATTAAAGCCTTCGATTACGAAGCCAGTGTGCTAGGTACGGGCAGGGAAGGCTGAGGCTGTGAGAGAGGAATGTTTTCAGACCACATTGAAATTGGGTCTCAAGTCCATGAGGACTGAGCACATAGGGGAGATCATTACTGCAGAAAGGAAGGATTTTCTTGGCTACAAAATATTATGCGAAAAATGTAAGGTTTCTTTTTTTAAATCTTTCATGAGATTGTAAAGTCCTAAAAGGTCAGATGTAAATCTTGTTATGTTACTAAGCTCAACAGACTTTGGAACTCATTATATATTTCACAGGTAAGAAGGAAATATAGTGCCTTGGGACACTTGGGTCCCAAGAGAGTCTGAGTTTATCTTTTTTGTGTGTGTAGATGGGGTCTTGCTATGTTGCCCAGGCTGACTTTGATCTCCTGACCTTAAACAATCTTCCCACCTCAGCCTTCCACAGTGCTGGGACTACAGGCATGAGCCATCACACCCAGCCTTCTCTAAACAACAACCTCTAATTAAAATGAGGTCCTTTTTGAAGTCTTAGAGATTGGGTGCACCAGGGAAAATATTTGATTTCTCAGTAGGCCTTACCTTAGCAGGGATTTACGTTCTGCTCATTCAGCTTCAGAAGTATCTCCCAAAGCGTGGCCTTTCCCACCGTCTGGACAAACTTGAATCCTCGCATTCTCACCTTGACTGCTCACAACTTCTCACTAACCCCAGCACCTCTAATCTCAGTCTCTTCTCCCATTCTCTTGCTAACTACCCTCCACGCTGCTGCCAAGGACATGTTTTCTTTTTTCTTTTCTTTTTTTCCCTTCCTTCCTTCCTTCCTTCCTTCCTTCCTCCCTCCCTCCCTCCCTCCCTCCCTCCCTTCCTTCCTTCCTTCCTTCCTTCCTTCCTTCTTTCCTTCTTTCTTTTTTTTGTTGAGACAGAGTCTAGCTCTGTTGCCAGGCTGGAGTGCAGTGGTGCAATCTTGGCTCACTGCAACCTCCACCTCCTGGGTTCAAGTGATTCTCCTGCCTCAGCCTCCTGAATAGCTGGGACTACAGGCACCCGCCAGCACGTCCAGCTAATTTTTGTATTTTTAGTAAAGATGAGGTTTCACTGTGTTGCCAGGATGGTCTCGATCTCTTGACCTCGTGATCTGCCCACCTCAGCCTCCCAAAGTGCTGAGATTACAGGTGTGAGTCACCATGCCTGGCCCCAAGGACATGTTTTCCAAAATGCAACACTGATTGTGCAGGGTGGGTCTAATGTTCTAGCATGAAAAATTGATTCCACAGGATAGAGTCTGAAATCTCTAAGACACTCTAAGAGACTGTGAAAGCACCTCTCCAGGCACAGCTCTCTACAGGGTCCATGCTTAAGCTTCATCCCATGGACCTCTGGACCTCTCCATCTGCCTCTGCTTTGTGCCACTGGATGCCAAATCCTTGGACTTAGACTCTTCTAGGGCTGTCGGTGGTGCATGTAGAGCTTTTATGTAAATCAAAAGGCCCCTTCCCCCAGCAGGATAAGCCAGTGCCAGGCCACCTTGCTTGGTAGCAAGCACTGGCACTGGATTTCAGCCCCACTTGGTCCCTCATCTGCACAGTGGCTCCCTAGGTCCTGAGCTGTTCCTGGGACTGGTGTGAGCTTCCCTCTTCCTTTTTCTACATAAGCAGATCAAATGTCACTTTCAACCACTCCCAGGCAGAGCCTGTCACTCCCTCATCTTTGATAATACGGTGCTTTAGATGTTCAGACATCTACTATTTGTTCCTCTACTTTTCAAAAGACAATGAGCTCAAAAACAATGTATTTCGGTTTTACACACCCTTTTTTGTTTGTTTTTTGATTTTTTAAACCCCAGTTTCAGGCACACTACCTGGTATGGAATAGCTGTTCGCTAAGTGTTTCACAGGGAAGGCAGGTAGGAGAAAGGAAAGAGTCATTGATCTCAACTTGTAAAGAAAACTGGAAAAAGATCGATTTCCAACAATGTTGCGGAAATTAATGATTAGGAAAAAGATTACTGTCCTACACTATTCTGAAAGAAAACAATTCAAAAGGCTTAAAAATTGAAAATTAAAAATTATGAGGGATTTAGAAGTACTTAAATTCCCAAAATATAAATATTTAAGAAGAAAAATTAAATGAAATTTAAAAACTGTTATAAGGAAACAAAAATGTAATGGAAAATTTGTATTTAATATACAGATAAAAATAATACGTTCTGAGCATGATACCAAAGCCAAGAACTATAAAGGAAAAGGCTTGTAATGACAACATAACACTTATGCAAAATGAAATGATAGCAAACAAATTAGAAATATTTTATAACAGACAAAGAGTTTGTAACTTTCTTATAAAATTGTAAGTTAATAGCTCTAATAAATCACGTTTG